AGTTCAAGCATGAAACGTCAAATCCTTTTTACGTGAGATCCGTCAAAACCAGGCGATGTGGCCTTGTATTTTTATAACCTCTGAAAGTGACAGCCCAGCAGTATTCTGAGGATCCGCAAAACCTATACGACGGAAAGCTTCAAGCGCCTTGTGCTTAGCTTCCCTACGAATATCCATATTGAATGCCGAATCGGGATCTTTAACTATTTTTTATCTTTAAAAATATAAGAAAAAAAATCAAGCGGAGAATATAAAATTTGTTTGTCTATTGAACGTTATTATAAGTCGCACATTGCAAAATTTGTTTATTTATATAAAATTGTATATGAGAGATGGAATATGATATCATTTCATAAACTCTTTGATTAGTATAAAATTCTGTAATAAATGCAGTGCAGAATATACTTTATTACTGCTTCCTCCAGAGTTCGATTTGATCTCTTATACAATAGCTTATCATTTTTATCACGCATTATAAATTTTAAAAAGAGAACGTGATCTCTACTCCGCACAGGTCTTAAACCATAATCGATCGTCAATCATTTTAGTCACGTATTCTAAATAATGTCGCTGAGCGATTATCGTTACCAATCATTTCTTCTCTCTCTCTCTCTTTCTCTCTCCTTTATCTTGAATATTATTGAGAAATCGATAATTTCTCTCACGTATTTTCAAATTTCGCCGAATAGACTCGCCCCTTTCTAATTTTGCAGCCACGTGTGCTAAATGGTTCGCCCCAGAACGTGAACCGCGATGATATTCTTCACGGAATCTGAGCGTAATAATACGGTAATTACGAGGAAGTTCAAAGAATACGCAAGGAGCGGAGCGTGAGCGTATTCGTGAAAATTACACGCGGTCGCTGCCATATTTTGCGGGGATATCCCTTCCGCGGATATCCCGCCGCGTGGTGCTGCATCCTTGCGTACGCGAGGAAGAGAATTTCTCCCCCTGTCATAATGAGAATTTTATGACCGACTCCCGGTCCCGTATAACGTGTCCAGTCGAGCGCGTGTGTTTTACACGATAACTAAACCGTGGCGATGGAGGGACGCAGGAGTGCAGGGAATTCATTCCCAGACGCGGCGAAAGTCTTTGTCAACTTTTCGAATAACTCGGCGATCGTTGAAGTTCCGCACGATATGTCGTCTTTCCGCACGAGCGACTGACCGGTCCCGATGGGACGAGCAAACCTTCCGAAAACAAGCCTTTTCACGATCCTTGGTGCGGTTAATGAAAGTCCATCTTGTAACGTGTAACGTCGTTTTAAAAGAAATTCCGTCGCTAATCGGTGACGGTCGATGAATTAGGGAGGACAAATCGTTGTCATAAAATGCAACTATATCGTCTTGAAAAGACGAATGTTATTACATCTTATTTTATTGAAGAAAGATTGCATAGTAAAAAGAAGGACCGACATACAAGTTTGCGTACTCAAAAAAGGGATGTATCTATGAATGAAATAATTCAATGAAATTATTTACAGATTTTAAATATTTTGCGTATTTTTAATAAAATATTGTCATTGAATAACTGGACATTTAAATATTTTCAATTGTTATTTTTCTTTATTTGTTTTATAGAGTACTTTTAAAGTGAGCTATGTTTCAGCGTCATGTTTCAGTGTTTCATCTCAATATTCTCACTGTTCAAGCATTCTCAACAATACGCTACAATTTGTTTTTGGAGGTACAGTTACAGTTTTTAAACTATTTCATTTCGTCAGAGGAGTATTAAATGCGAATTTTTTTTGTTTTTTTTTTTTATTATTTGATTTTCAGTACCTGTTTTTACTCTCGTGAAAGAACAAAAACCTATTGGGGATTTTGAATTGATATACTCACAAAGACTTAGCATTTTTTATTCATATTCTTTACTATTACTACAGCAAAATAACCATTGGGAAATTTGATAACTGAAGCATTAATAAAAATTCATTTAGTTTTCTATATTACAGCACGTTGATCTTTCTTTTTTTTTGATCATTATGAAATTTTTATAAAAAAAAATCTCGAAATTCTTAAAAAATATCTCACTTTTTTTGAATATCATATATAAGACCGTAGTAAATTTGGAAGAATTAACCATGCAACTTTTTGTAAGAAACTTCTTCACAAAAGCAATTGCTATATTTTCCTCGTTCTTTGTCGGAATATAATTGCGGCTCCGCAAGAAAAGTTGTCCCTCCTACTTTCTTGGAATATTATTAAAAGCGTCATCAAGTATCTTTTTTACGTAGCCAAAAACGCATTTATATTCTAAAGCGCTATTTCTCAAAGTACTTTCAAATCGAATCTCTCAGCTGCCGCCCCGCTCGCGCGCTCGCGCGCCTCCAATATTCATTCGGCCGTTCCTCTTGAAATGCGCATGTTTAAGACAGCCGGAGATCCAATTATTTCGATCGTCTGTCACCGCGGCGGCGATCCACTTCGAGGCGGAGGAGCGAAAAAGGAGGAGGCAAGTAATCGTTGACAGCTTCCTTTCGCGCGCGCCGACTCAGCGCAATATTTCGCACTGTCGAGGCACTATCGACATTTCGAGCACGGATCGTAAGTGGTCGTCATTAGAGTGTATAAAAGCCAATATGATAATCTGTCTTCCATTGGGAATAGACACGAACGCTTCCGCGCGGTCCTCCGCAGCTCCCCGGAGAAATTATTGTCGTCGTCGAGTAGCCGGCCGCGTTCGGCTCGACCTGCAATTTTTTTCTTGTCCCGCGCTTCGCAGAGAGCCCTACAAGTGATGCAACCAATTATCTCGGTGGGTGTCTCCCAAGATTTGTGCGACGTCGACAATATTTTACTTGATTCTTTATTTTTCTTAATTCTAATAATTTTGGTATCTCTATCTTTTACTCTTGTTTCTATTAACGATTTTTGTTACCGTTATCATTTTTTTAAGTTAAAAAAAAATTGTATAGATTGCACGTTTATTTATAGAGTTTTATCATATGTAAGCACGTGCGAAACATTGCAGAAGCATCTCTCAGTGCTCGCCGTCGAAAGCCAGGATGATACCCTGCCGTTAAGTTCAAAACCGCGACGTAGATCGCAGTAAGAAATTGCATTGCATCGCGCTCATTTCTGCACGTCACATCTCGCTCGCCTAGGAACGCAATTTTCCTCGGCACCCTTTAAACACAACATACGGTTGAGCCAGGCAATACCAATTCCCTAGTTAGTAATCTGTAAATGGTGCAGTCCTCTCATCATTCATGGAATCCGCAAACGACGTCCCATCCCTCCATTTTGATGGATATTCATCGTGGACTCTGTTGTAACGCCTTGAAACGCAATTCGCGATAATACATCGCACTTTACAGCTTCTCGCCATGTCAATTTTAATAAAAGGTGTCGCTTTCTGTCTCTTTCTCCCTCTCCACCTTGCATGTCGTCCGCGAAATTGCGAGGAGCAGTGAAACGCTCGAAATGCTATTTTAATTAAAACCGCCGTTTCAAACGACTCCCATGAAAGTACGTTCCTGGTATACACAGAGTGTTCATAATTTAAACTGCAACGAGTCACACCACAAGCCGCGAGAAATATTCTACTTATTATTTTCAATTCAGGTTGTAACACTCAACAATTTAATTATCTCTTTAAACCTACCTTTCGCTATCGTGCCGCGCAAGGTGCTTTTAATTTGTAGTTAATATTTTTAAATAATTATGTAGACTTATTTAAAAATGGCACGCTTGTGTGTGCGAGGATTTTGTCAACTGTACAATTATTTACAATTAAACTAAAGAGAATTAAATTAATTAAAAGTATGTCGACGAGATACCTTCATAATATCACGATAAGTACATCGATAAGTTATACAATAATATTTGTAAATTATCGCGTCGAATTTGTATTTGCTATCGCGCAAAAATAATTCTCTTCAGTCGCAGTAGTGTTTTCTTCGTGCACGCAACTCGATATTATATCGCAAAGGCACTACAATCGGTCGTCGCATTGTTGGTGCACCGACGAAACATGCGCGCTCAACTTTGAGCTATTGCAACGGTTATTCGTAGTGTTCCCCCAAGATAGTCGTTCGATGTTGTCCCCCGGGATACGAAATCTTACATGAGAACATTGGTCTTACTCGAGTTTACCGCTCGACACGGCTTCAATTAAACTCGGTTTCTTACTCGCTCCTAGATTAATTACTGCTAACACTTGAGCCAGAATGCATGATAAAATACATTTTCCTGTTTTCTCTTCCTGTCTCTCTTCTCAGAATGAAGAGCTATTTATGATCATATCGAGCTTCTGTTTTCTTAATTCAAATATCACGTTAACATGCTTTTTTTTAAACAGAAGCACGAACACATGTCTCATACGGAAAATAATTTTTACTTCAAATCAAATTAATGATTGATGTTAATCAGTCGAACGATACGAGCAAAGCTGATAGATTATGTGATTTTATTTTTTATATCATTAGAAGCCTCTAAGCGAATAGAGGTAAAATTGCATTACCTATATAAATGTAACGTAAACTTTTCAACCTAACATTTCAATATGATATTGGGTATATGCTTCGACGTCAATGCTCTCTCTCGAGTAAACCCGAACGTATCAGTCAGCGGATCGTTTGCATGGATGGAGTTTATCGTGAAAGATTATCCCGACTTTGGCACTCCGTGCCCTCCCAGGAAACTGACGGGCCGAAACGCTGCCGCCCGTCTCCGGCACGCGTCGGAATCTCAAGAGCCAAAGTTCCGTCGCCGGTAACTTGCAAGAGAGAAACAGAGCCTGGTGTCTCCCCGGAAGACCTGCAAGTCAGATACCTTGATTACTTAGGCGCTGGAGAGTATTGATTTCGTCGGATAGCGCGATTCACGGGTTTCCGTGTCATTAAGCGACCTGTCTGATAATTCCTATACGGAGATCGCGAAACAAACGATTCGCTCGCTCGTTAGACAATCGACTTTAGAAAATTAACTTTTTACATCTTGTGTCGTAGATATATTTGTTGACGAGCAAGCAACGCATCTGCCTCGGTTTTTCAGGATTGATGAAGCTTCGGGATCTGGTGAGGTCACCGAAAATCCGTGATATCGAAGTTAATCTACGGCAGGCAGACCCCAACTCGTACAGGCAGGTCCTCTCCGAAATGAAGAGCAAGGAAATTCAAAATATCATCGTGGACACAAAACCCGAGCACATGCATCATTTTCTACGAATGGTAAGTCATTCTACATGCACGCTCTCACCTTACATATTTTTATATAGGAATTATATACGCGTACAAGTTATTTTTTCAAATATTTTGTCAATTATTGTCGAACTGGAAGAAAATTCGCTTAATTATAAAAATGCGATTAAGAAATTATAAGTGGGGAAGGAGATGATATTTGAATAAATTTTTGAGAAATGATTGGTTTTAAATTGCTCCGAAAATGTATACGCGAGGGAAAAAAAATGCTTGAGAGGCAAAAATAATCGTAAACTTGGGCATGCCCGGATTTTAAGATCACCGATTCGTACATTATGCACATATACCATTTCGCGAAAGCGGTCTCGACTGACCGTGTCGTTTCGCATATATTGCAGATCCTGCAGCTGCAGATGAATGATTACAAGTACCACTACCTCTTCACGACTTTCGTAAGTACCCTAGGGATATTGAAACGCACAGTGAAGACCCACTTGGTCCGCGACTCGATTCGCTCGCTTTTCCGCAGGATATCGAAACCTTCGATCTCGAGGACTTCAAGTACAATTTTGTCAATATCACTGCCTTTCGTTTGGTCGACGCGGACGACGTCGGCGTACGTAGTATCCTGAGGGACATGGAACGCTATCAGCCGTCGGGAAACACCATTCTCAATAAATCGAGGATCATCCAGGTGAGCACACATGTGCCTTCTGTTTGTAGAGACGCGTGCACTACACATATTCGGTAAGTTAATACAATGCTTACTTAGTCTTGATTTTATGACTGAAGAATTTAAGGTGTGCGACGCGCGGATTGCGATTTGTGAAACATCCATTTTATAGATTAATTACCTCTTTGGTACATAGATATTTGCATATATGACAATTTTGCATTTCGTAATACAGAAAATACATCTTGCGCATTGATAAAAGAACAAGATTCGGCATCTCGTCGAAAAATTGGTGTTTACAACAAAATCATATTTCACGATTAATTTCCGTGTCATATTCGTAAAAGCATAACAAGTATATATACGGAGATATAACTATATATATTTTTATTTCGCAATAATGTTTTATCGACCATAATTTTGGCACGAGATGGCGAACTACATTGCGCCCTTGAAAGATTGGCAAGATCTCAATGAAAGACGTAAAACAATTTATCGTCACGTCGCATATACGTTAGTGCACCTACCGCGCTTCAATGCTTGTGCGTCAACATCACCGAATGCTTTATGGAGCGATAAAATCGGCTGAAAGCTATTCGAAACAACGTATGCGTTGCCACGTCGCGAGTAATGTCGCATACGTGAATAACATCAGCCACATTGTAACCAAAGTAACAAGTATTGCTCTTTTCGAGGCAATGCAATGATAAAATTGTCGAAAAATATTCGGAAAAGTCTTTCTCTTTCGTTATACGTATAACGTGCTAAACGTCGATGTTAAAATAAATTGTCAATTACACGTAAAAGAAATTAGCAATAAAACAAACTCTCTGCAAAATTATTTTTATTTTATTCTACTTACTTTGATCGAAAAATAAATATACTAGTAAAAAAATGCGTTGTACACGCACGCGTATATACTATCGTATAAATCTACATAAAATAGATTAGATATTGCAATATCGGGAAATGGAAATTCGGTGTTTGACTTCGTACTTTTGTGGACATATTTTCTCTGGCAATTCGACGGTTATATTAAATTATGACTTTCTCGTAATATATATGGAGAAAAAGAAATTATATTTGCATCTAAATTGCATAACATTCTACCCAAATTGCATAGTTATAAATTCCAACGTACACATTTAGATAATGTACGTATATACATTGCCCATTCAAACAATTTTTTTATAAATTAACAAGTTATATTGCATTAATCTCCAATTTATAAAATCTTCCTTGCTATAATGAAATACGTATCAGTGTAAAATAGAAAACGATATGACATTCCTATATTCATTACGTAACAGACAGAAAATAATTTTCTAAAATTTGTATCACTTATAATAACAGAATAATGAATCTACATACGAAAGAGAAAACTTGAGGAAACTCGTTACTCTTTCGCCTGATGATGTGTAACAGAATTATCACACATCCGCTGTAAATGTAAAAAAAAACTCGCGGTCGCGGCATGTTTACGACGCGTGAAGCTTTTTTCCAATTTAGATGCAGATCAGAATGTCATCGCGACGACGACGACGGCGACGACGACGACTTCGTTGAAACTCCATCGTTACCGCGTCGCGACAACGCGACCGCCCGTAATCGCGTTTCGTATCACGCACATGCGTGCAAACGTGAATGCGCTAAATGGCGTGCCAATGAAGCACCGTGCGTACGCGCGGGGAAGTCACACAGCGCACGTATTTAATCGAGCTTCCGCGATTCATCGAGCCCAGCACTTGTTAATTTTTTCATTATAATGTCATTGTATTGTAATATTTCTTAAAGTCTTTAGATTTTTTTAATCTACGTCGTTGACAGGTCATTATTTTCAAGTTTAAATTGTTGCTTTCGCTCGCTTCGAAGATTCTTGTATATTTAATTTTTCAGATCCTCGAGTCATTGATTTCTTGGTATTCACTTGATTTTCACGTCGCGGGGGGTTGTAAGAGCTCTTGAATCTTACGTTCTTGAGATTTTTATGTATACTTTCCATTCATTCAAGACTTAATAGACAAAAATTAAATACATCATATTATTTCCTATTTTACTTCATTTTCGTCTAATCAAAATATTACAGTTTATATTAAAATATCTCAGTTGTGAAAATAATTATTTTATCATGCAATCATAGTTGTAAATACTATACATTTTTCTCTCAGTATCATTTCTTCATTTAATTAACGTTTTATATTACATGAAATACGCGCGACGCAGATCTTTCTGCTTGTTCAGTTTGTACTTTTCTGTGATTGCTTTAATGCAAATAATCCGTTCTTGCACTGAAACCCGAATAAACAAATCGATTTTCTAGACGCGTGATCTCGCAACGAATTTCTACAAACATGTAGACGATTCACATCACTGAACTGAAATGTATTCGCCCCTCTCTACAAACGGCGACTTTTCTTCGATTCTCAAGCAAAATATGCGATATTTACAGCGAGCGAAACGAACGTTTCGCGCACAATACGCGAAAATCGTTTGCGCAAAACATCTCTTCGGAATCGTCGCTAATAATTCAAATAAGATGGCGCCGTTCCGTTGAATTTTCTACGCTGTGGCTTGAGCGTCCTTTACGGTTATTATTATTTTTCACACCCTCGACTCTCATTCTCTCGGGGGAGCCGACGTTTCAGTAACACCGAAGGATTATTTGCATGTATAACAAAACCGAGGGGACGCTCCGACGGGCCGGAGAGAAAAGCGATCTTTTGTCCGAACGACCATCCGGAAGGATAAAGTTAACATTTCCTCGGAAAATGTATATTTGCCCTTTTCGGAAAATATGCCAGGAAATATTGCTATTTCGTTGCGATGGAAAGTATGAAAGAAAGTAATCTTTTATTCAGCGAGCATTGACATCGCTTTGAAAATTATATCGATAACGCGTTTTCGGATCTGTTAATCTCTGTTTTTATATAAATGCAGCTTATATTACTTTTTAAAACAGACGCAAAAATAATTAATTTTTAAGTGATAACTCGTAATAAAATTTATTCATAATTTATTTATAAAAACAGATGGAAACTGTATAAATCTGAGTAAATCCCTCAATGTTCCATTTTTGAGATAATCGAAATTCCCTCCCCCTCCGTTCGTATATCTGCGACTGGGAGGGCGAATTGTAAATAGACAATCTGAAATTCCAGATGCGATACTAAGATTAAAAAACTTGGCCGCATTTACAATTCATGAGGAAATGCCCCGGTTTAGGTCCATGGAGGAAAAAGAGTTCTCTAATTACTTCCGCTACAGCCGTTAAACTTCCCGAAGCGGCACAATACGGAAGCGCGCGTAATATTCGAATGTAATATACACTTTAAAAGCGGATTGCAAGACTCACTTACTTAGAAGCACTCAAGAAAAGCATCTTGATCCCGATAAATTACTTCTATATTTTACCCTTGCCACCGCGCTGCATCGCAGAAAACTTTAAGGGCTTTTTTCTGCGGGAAACGGTGCCATCGGCTATCCAATTCTGCGGGCGAACGCTCAGTATTCAAGACTGTGACCCTATTAATGGAACGCATTTTTTGCGTTTATTGTTTGCCGCAATTTTGGACGCTAAGGCAGCAGGATTACGAGCAATTCCGCGAACGGTCTAATTGCTTGCAAAAATGTTTATCAGGCGCGGTCGCCTGATATCGGCGGATATCAACGAAACAACTCGAATTAACGCTCGTACTACACGTCTATGCTATTACCCAGGCGCATTGCCGGAGATAAGGGAAAGTAAGATTTAGGATGTGCTCGCGGAAATTCGAGCGAAAAACAGAGTCCAAAATCCAAGGATATTGCTTGAAGAATACATTCAAATATTCTGTCGCACAATTTAAAATATAAAATTATATAATTATATATGATATTACAGTAGATTCAAATGTGGGTTTTTTTTTTAAATTTATCGTTTTATCACTATATACGTACACAGACACGCACACAATTAACCGTGTGCATACATGCACACATGAAGATTTCAAAATAAACACAGAAGCTCTAGAGTCCGCGACTGTTATTATTATTTTATCTTGTTAGTGAAATGCGCGCAGGTGTTTTTCTAAGACTTCCTTTCGCTTTTAAAAACGATCTTTGCGCAATGTCGCGCGAGCAACAAATTCGTGTTCCTCAAGATTCTGTTCTACTTAATCTCGGTTGCAGAAATTAAGTTAATATTACGCATCCTAACAAATTTACTTACACGATCTCATTATTTTATTATAATTAAATTGTAATAATTAAATAAGGATCATAATTATATATAACTGTAATAATCACGAATAGAGAATCAATTTTACCTCGCTAAAACGGTCAAGAATTGAAAATACTTTGAGGCGTACGGTGCGTTTCGAACATGGAGCACACATCACGACTCATCGTTGCACCGCAAGTTTAAGAGCTTGCCGGCAATCTTCTCGAGCATCCCCCAGATAATACCTCCCGTTTGCTTTCAAGCGAATTGTCAAACGGCTCTCTATTGTCGAAGACAACCTGTTCGCGTTGCCCATACCTCCCGTACGTAACCCGTGGTGAAATTACCTATACGACGGCTTTTGTTTCGACACCATTCGCTCCCCCCCGTCGCTTCCCTCGGCCAAGCTTCCGCTGCCACCGACGTCAACCGTCCCCACAAGCGTCCCCGTCAAGCGCCTTCCTTCCTTTTTCGCGCCGCTAAACGACCGAGTTAGCTCCGGCAAAGCTCCGCACAAAAAGCTCGGTCACAATCAACGCTCGGCGAAGGTGGGAGAGCAAAGGAAGAAAAAGGAAATAGGGCGCAGTTTAGGCGTCGGAGGTCGAGAGAAAAGAAGTAGGCGGTTCCAGCGAGCGCGAGAGCAGCCGCCGAGATAAGCGAAGAGCACCTGGTTAAATCCCCTCTTAGACTCACCGCGACTCAAGCTTCGACGGGGAAAATATAGGGACGTGGGTGGTTACACAAGAAGTGCGATGTAAGTAGGGTATATATATATATGTATATATATATATACGTAGACCGAGGGGAAGAGCGAGAGATCGAC